TCTGAAGATAATTTTCTGAAAAAAAGGAAGAGGCCTCTCGTCCACATTCTTGGGATCCTGTGGAGTAGATCGTTGGGTAATATCTTAGGCTCCTCTATGAGACTGATCACCTGCCACAAAATGTCAAGCAACATGTATATATTTTGTTTGCAATCATATTATCATATATCCGACTATCTGTCGATACAATTATGTGATGAGAGTTTTGTGGCCCGTAGTAAAATAGAAAGTATGGAAGATGTTTTTGATGACGCCGATTTTTATACCTGATAAAATTTTATTGCAATATATTTATGAGTTTATTATGCGTTTGTTATTTTATAAATTGTTATAAATGGATTCCTTTACTTTTATCAGATGCGACGAGAGTTTGATATCTCAGATATAACATAGTATTTATAAATATCACTGCATCTGAGAGTTTTTAAGGCAGTTTTTGCCGCGCACCACCACTACGTGAAACCAGCAGCCCATTGAAGTATTTCCAAACCAATTCGACTTAGGGTCCTTCAAGAAAAGAGCGTATCAATTCTTAAATGGCTGGCAATGCACTCGCGAGCCTCTGGCATTGATAGCTCCGCCGTACCATGGGCGGCGGTACCTACTTAACATCAGGCGAGCCTCCTGCCCGTTTGCTAGCCCCTGTTCTTTAAAATAAAACAAATATACGTAAGTTCTTATACCTAGTCCTTAACCCCTCTAGTTCTAGTAACTCCCCTTGGAGTTACAGTGTGTTTTGTTCCATGGGAAACTATTCCAGCTGTTTGCTGCTTGAATGCAAAATGCTTACTTGCCTATTAAGTTCCATTATCTGGGGATACGGGACAAATAGTCATCCTCATTTAGACACAAAATATGCCAAAATTAGGTACTGTTAATCAAATTACTAATAATAAGAACTTATTTATTTCAGATTATATCCATATGTAGTTTTAGTTATAGTAAAAGTTTGGTCTTAGATATGTTAGTATTGGTTAGTAAATAAAACAAAAAAAAATTAAACTCCTACAGTGGTGCATGGACAGCATACCAACGTTTTACGTTGCGTGTTCTTTGAGATCAACATAATCAGGAATGGTGCAATGGCTACACGATGCAACAAAGATGCTACCATTTTCCGAATGATCCATAAAAACCGTTAGTTCGGGTCTCAGAAAACATACATAACTGCAGAACCTCGGCAAGCTCAATGGCAACCTAAACGTGTGGTTATACTGAATACAGAACACCTTTTAGGGATACATACTTTCGTACGCCTTTTGAGTGAGATTGTAGGTGTCACAAATAAGATAAAATATAGATATCGCGATTAGCAATAGATGAACACTAAAACTCACCTTTGATCATCCTATCGGTATGGATGTGCTAATACTAGCTGATAAGAATGACTCTATGTTACCAAAGCCATATCTATACGCTTTATTCATTGTATATATTTCAAAATTCAGCGGTCTAACGTTTGGGAAACCTTGGGAGCCTCACACAAAACCACTTCGCAATTTTGTCCGTCCGATTTCGTGTAAAGTGTTGGTTAGGTAACTATATCTTCGACTGTAGTCAATTGTACTTGACTGGCAAAAAGAGTGTTGCACTGTTTTAAAATCTTGTCTATTGACAACTGATTTTTATTAATACAATATAATAAAGTACATAGAAGGTATAGCAGTACCTATAATTATTCTATTCCAAATGTTCCATTTTATTCAACCCGTAAAGAAATTATTATCTTTGTAAACATTGAAAGATTTAAAAAGCCACGTCGACGTCAGCCATTGGTCTCAGAGAGAATAAAAATATTAAAAATAGAGTCATCTAGCGTGACGTAATATAGCAGGAATGCACCATGCAAATAAAATAGGAATTTTGTGCGATGCGCCCTGCGAATTTGCAGTTACGTGCTTGATTCTGCACAAATAATTTCTGACATTCAGGAAAAATGCTTTTACTAATTCCTATTTGGCACCAAGTATTATAGACAAGAGTCGACTAAATGGCAGCTCAGAGATGGGAAAAGAAAAAGAGGAAGACAGGTTAGGCAATGTAGTAATCATTTGCAAACCACGGCTGGTGTTGTGTGGACTAAAGTTTCCCGGGATACAAATAAGTGGAGAGAGCTAGAAAAGGCCCATGTGTCCCAGGAAACACTTTTTTCACAAAGGACCAAATATTTTGTATTGTGTTGTATAATTAAAATTATTGTATGGTCACAGAAATAAAAAAGGTTTTATTTATGCAAATTCAATAACTGTTATACTGAATTATAATCAAATGTGACCATTATTCATACATTACCGGCACCATGCAATGTTTATATAACCTATATATACGTAACCTTGATTAACTATTGTGGTAAAACAGACCGGAACTAATAAAACCGGAACTAATAACCTATAATTTAATCATTAAAAATTCAAAAATTATTTATTCATATAGGCAACAAAATGTACCCTTATGAACTAAAAAAAATAAGTGTATATAAAATGCGTAAAGGCGTAGAACGGAAGAGAAGAACTGGCAATAAACTCTCCGCCACTCTTTTAATCGCCAAGTTTTTTGTTAAAAATTCCGTCTAGGTCATAATTGAGAACCATAGTTGAAATTCATATTAACTTAACAAACTAAAGGTGTGCAATTCAATATTTTTTCACATAGTCACGAATACTACGCAGTTTTACGACGAAGTACCATTGTTTGTGACGCTGCATTTTATTCTGATTACAATACAATATTTCTTCTAAGGCCCATTAGTACGTCTTCCATCCTCTCATGCCTTATACGTAATTGAGTGAAGCCTGTTTTATTATCTTATCACAAATCTATCTCAACATTTTCCTCATATAATTTTAATTGAGTTTTAGCCATGGATTGCGAGGACGCCACAATTAATCACGGAAGTTTTCTTTTGAGAAGTGGAAACAGAGAAAAAGTGAGTATGCTTTAAGCCGAATAAAGATTATAATATGAGGTTTAGTAAAGTATCTTGACTTGTATATTGACACACCACACGTCATAAGATAATAGAGAAAATTATGAAAGAAACTTGAAAATATATTTTAATAACCAGGGACATTACTAACCATGCTCAGAATTAAGAGTTAATTGTTACTTAAGAAGTTCGTTAACTTTTTATTAAGTTCACTATTGTTCTAATCGGACCCATGCTTCCTTAATCAGCATTTAATTAATATCCGTAGCTAAAGTGTATAAATATATCTATTTATAATTAGCTGGCCTACCATTAGATATAATTTATTGATTCTTATCGTTTAATGATTACCTCATCAAAACTTTTTTGTGTTACTTATTAACTCGGATTAAGGTTAAAACAATGACGTAATACGAGTACAACTTACAATTTCAGTCATTTGGTTGAGAGGTAGCTAAAACGTCAGGCGTAATTTTTTTAAATAAAGATGGACTTAGCTTATTTATATTGAATCATGCTATACTATCTATTTATTTTAAGTTACAACCATTTATTGCATATTTGATGGCTACATGTGACAGTGTAATCAATTAATTGATTTCTATTAACCATATTATTGTGGACTCATTAGACACTAACAATAAGGCGACATAAACGTATTATTAGTAAGAAAAACATCGGAAAATTCTAATTCGAAACAAGGAAACATCGGAAAGGGTGCCTAATAAGTGCGATGCGGTTTGCCTGAGACCTTATTGGCATTATATAGCATTAATTATGTAAGGAATAATTAACCGTGAATGTTTTCTTCGCCTAATTTTTTTTTATAACGCTAATTGTTATGAGAAAGCTTTAAGTTTCTATTGCCACCTTCAAATTCTACTTTACATTATTCAGGTGTATTTGCTAACAAGAATATAGTGTAATGGTAACAATATTAATAAAATTAAACTTATAAACATAAACTAATAATAATAAAATAATATACATTGAAATAAATAACGAAACTTAACATAAACTAAAATATATCATTAAAAGGAGTCCCTTTAGGCAAGGTTCCGAAGATACTGGCAGCGTTCCCCCCTTTGAATTGCTAGACTAATTCTTTGTCCGAGGTAGCTGCCAGATCTTCGGTCTCCTGTGATGTCGACTAACCTTTTTGAAATTTCTTTAAAAAAGCCTTAAAGCGCTAGGACCCCACGGACTTATTTATTATTTGCTAACTATATTTCAGTTTTCCATCTATGCGATTGTTAAGAAAACATTAAAATCTTTGCATTTTATATTCTGATTTTTCTTTGGTATCTGCAATAAACAGTGTTATATATGGTGGTTTAGATATATATATAATCAATATGGTATTTTCATACCGCTTCGCGGGGCCAGTCTAATTGTCCACATATGTGTTTTAGGGCTGTAATAAATAACGCCAGGAACATTGAATCAGCTTGTTTTACGCCAGGAAAAATGGCTAATCTATATTATTAACTCTTTAAACACACTCAGTACTTTCAGTTTGGTTCAAATAGTTTGCATTGATGTCATAACTACGAAATGATAGTATGCGACAGTTTATGCCCAACAATTGGGCTACATTTTTGTACGAGTTTATTTTTAGTGTTGCTTTCAATTGATAAAGAATTATGAGAGGAGCCGGCTAACCAAACACCGGTTCATATCCGCTAAGCCAGTGATATATGTTATCGTGTTATATTATGATTAGTATTTTAATGACAAGTTTACGGGCATTGACGCTCTTTAGACACTTTTATAACTAAAGTTTACATAGAATAATAAAGAAATAATAAATTGTTGCGTTTAACTATTTATTAAAGTAAGCAGACGAAATCGCGAGGATTATCCTAGTCATATGTAAGATAAGTCGAACTCGCGCATTTAATTGGACACAGAATCATTAACTTCAATAAGAAGTTACTATCGAGAGGCACGTCAAGTCGTTTTGTCATTCGTGAATCGTACTGCGCGTAGTGCGCGTACGCAAGCCTCTCTGTTTACTCGTCAAAATATAAAAGTAAAGTGTTATTTTTTATGTCGCACGAGTAACGTTCGTACGATGGAAGAAGGCAAAGAGGTATGTTTAATTACTTATGCAAAGCGAAATTGTATTGGCTTTTGTAGTTAGTTATTTATCAAACTAATTAAAATAATTATTTACCATGGAGTGTAAATAATTATTTTAATTAATAATGTATGTGTTACGTGATAAATGATGTTATAGCTATGCTGGTTTTTGTGTATTTAATTTTTAAGGCTTCGCGCTGATTTAATTATTAATAAAATTATTACACGTTTTATGACTTTATCATTCATTCGTTCTTTGCTACTTAGTTTCAATATGTCGGTACTGACGTATTTTATTTGTTATGTCTTCATTCACTCAAGTCAACAGTCCTTAGGATCGCAATAAGTAAGTTATAATGATTATTTTTTGCAAAAAAACGTTGTAGTTTAGATTATGCAATCAAGATATGCATTTGTATAACTTAGCAATTTCTTGACATACATGCACAGTTATATAAAATATGTAAATGTGTGTAATATGTTAAATGAGTAACAGTCTGCACTCATATTGTCAGATATTGCTTTTTTATTTTATTAATTTTAAATCGTAGTAATTCAAAAATGCGCGTTTATTTTGAAAAGTTTTCGGAGATATTTTCCGATTTAAAATCATGATTTGTGGACAGAATACAGAAACTGCCGCATTATACACGCTTATTAGAGCGTTAACTATTGTCGTTAGTCTTCTATGGATGACTATTAACAAATTGATCACTTCATATTATTTAATTCGTAAAACTTATCAATACAGTACATATCGTGAACGGGTTTGTGTTTCTGGAGCAAAAACTATCGCAAAATTTTACGTATGCTAAAATCCAATACATTTTTGACGTCATCATACTAAACTTGACTATCCAAATCAGTCGTATATAAAAACCTTCTATTTGTAAGAATGATTCTCACTATTACTACACCACACTATGCCAATTTAAATGAATCACTAATATTAACTACATTTGTTAACGAGCAATGTTGACTATGTGGTCAAGCGTGACGCTCCCGATACTCTGATCATACATTTATGCCCCTTTATGAGCAATGGATTTTTATTTTCTAAGTGCGCAATGAAACACTTGCTCGTACGAGAAATTGCAGCGTGTCGCAACCGTCTGATCCCACAAGAGAAGGGTCTTTTGCGGGCTGGACATAGAAGGCTGATTGCCTTTAAAATAGATTTTTACACATTTCAATTGCTGATTTTATTTATTTGTTTGTTACATAGTATAGCCTAGTTGACCTGGTACGAGCCTGTAGCATTAGTTATTATTATTTATTAGATTTAGCCTTTATTTTATTCTAATACTTAAAACCTACGCATTGGAATGAGATTGCCCATATTCGATAGGTTAAGTCGTTATCGTGTAAAATTGAAGACATCAAGATATAATGATATATCGTTCAAGCATTACAGATATGTCAATATTGGACATTGTTTAACTCCAAGTGGTTTTATATAATAGGATATCTATTTTCAATATATTTTCTTTCAACTGTCATCTTATATAAGCACTTGACGTGTATAAAAAATAATTAAAACAATCACGAGTTAAGCCAATTGTGTGAAATTGGACAGATTTCGACTCGAACTCACTTCAATCAGCTCTGCCATTGTTCGAAAACGTAATCGACCTATTACTGCGTTGAGTGAAATGAATTTGCAATTGAATTCTACTATTGATTATACTGAATAAGCCTGTTATACAGAATGATTGATTATTTTTTATACAGAATGGGCCTGAAGTAGTGAGAACTGAATTTCAGTGGCCTGTTATTTCCCAGGCATTATGTGTAGCAAAACAAATTTAATTGCAATAATTTTAATACAAATTACAATGATAGGAATTCTCTAATCTTAACAGGATTTCACCCAAGCGCACTGATATTTAATTACATGGAAACTGTTTTGTCTCTTTATGACGTGAATGATTGGAATCGGAACTTTGTTAGGGAGTGCCAATTTCAGTTTGGATTGGAAATCGGTTTCAATTTTACGGAGTCGCCATGCTGAAATAAGAGATGAAAGTGAAATTTAAATAGAATACACAAACTTTCAAATAAAATGTACTGGACTAAAACAGTAATCATAAATATTTTTCGCTTAGCATAAATACGCTACGCACAGCTGGACTTTTATTTTAAAAATATTTAGGAAGTAAACTCTTAGAAATTATGTAGTATTTTATGGTGTGCTTTTAAATCGGTCCCACTTCATCTTAGTATAAAAAACTTGCACCCCAGTGGTCAATGTTTCAAAAAAAACATAATAATACATTTCTCATGATTTAGTTTCGTTATTCGTAATCTCTTCGTTAATTGAAGCAAAAAGTCAAAATGAAAATATCATTTATTCAAGTTAAGCTACTTACTGTACACGTTAGTAAAAAAAATAATAGTACTAAATTTACATTCTCAAATCAAGGGCGTAGAACGGTCAAGAAGAACTGACAATTAACTTCGTTCCCAGAAGTAATATGAAATGCTATTACAAAACGTTAACTAAAATATATATTATTAAAGTATTTCGGAGAGGTGTTTTCGAACCAAAGAGTACCGTACCATACTTCATACATACCCTTCCCTCAAAGGCTGTCAACACTACTGTAAGCCTTCTGGCGTTACTGGTGTCATTGGGCTCATTAGAAGTTTGATCAAAGTTCCTTTACCTTCTGTCCCATAAACAATATTTTTGGCATAGCTTAAGAGCCTTTACCTTAGGCAGAGAATTATTGCAAGTTGTAGCGCTGAGCGCATCGCGTCGCGTAAAGCGTTAGATAGAAATTAGAAACCATATTATGGCACGGCTATTAGGCTCTTAATGTCTACTGGTCAGCTTACTTCTATTTAAACATAATGTTATTTTAAAAAAATTATTTAACATTTGATTTAATATTTTTTTCATTGCTTTAATTTTCTAAATTATATTAGTTATGTTTGCGGATGGCGGTGTGCAAGTGTCGTAATACTGTGAATGACCTTACCTTGGCACACCTTTGACAAGACGAGGAGAAACTTTGAAATCAATTTTCCTGCTATTTATTATTGAAAAATAACAAAAGACGTTCATTTGAACCAGTTAACGACTAAGGAGGTAATTTATTAATTTAATTAATTTCAAATCTATCCGAATCCTCTTATTGTCCAAAGTGTAACTTTATGATGAATATTATTACGTTTACCTAACTTTCATTTCTTCTTTATAATACACTTTCTCTTATACCTTATTTTCGCAATAGTCGCCTGTAGCATATCGCTTATAATCCATAAGGCCATCGATGCACTCAGCCGTTAGCGCGTTTTATGCATTAAATATATTGATTAGAAATTACAAAGCCATTTATTAGATAAATACCTTTTTTTAATGTTCTGCGTCTGGTCTATAAGTCGGTACCTACCGGGCTAATATCTTGAGAAATCTCAATTCAAATAAATAATGGCCATAATAATTGCATGGGCACGTTTTTTGTCTACTCTATTTGTTTTTTGTTTTATATTAATTAATAAAACAAAGGTAATTTATTATTATTCTTACAAAAAGATATATTACGGCCAGGCTAAATTGATAGTTATTAATTTTCTTGTTAATTTGTGTTAAACTGACCCTCAATTATGCGTGTTAAAATAAAATCCGTAATTGTTTTATTGAAATTGAGTCCGAATGTATTCCTTGAAAAACAATGGCTAATGTTATAAGTAGAAAAGAAACAATAAATATTTTCGATTTTACGAAAAATCTACTAAAAATTTATTCAGTATCGCAATATGTTGGCAAAAATCTCGTAATTGACATAATTATACCAAACTGGTTAAAGAGGTTTTGTGGAAATCAAAGTGCTTTAACCGGGCTCCTGATATTAACGACCAAGATTATAATATAGTTTAAGTAATGTACATCATAAAAACGAGAACAGAACTTAAATAATTTTAAGTCCTACCAATATTTTAATTTGTAATTACTTATTCAAAAATATTATAAAATCTAGATGATTAAATAATTTGTGATGATTCTTTAAAGATTACTTTTGTCATATTTTGCAAGTGCCTGCACGTCCACAAACTCATAAATTATCGGAAATCACGCTTGAGCCATAAGTCACTTCCGTCCGATCGATAAATATTTTGATTTGCCATTCAATTATCACAGACGAATAAATAAGAATTAAACTAAAAATTAATTATTTTACCATACAAACAAACCCCTTTTTATCCGGTACATACAATCCTGTCGGAGCTTGATGAACCTATAGGTATGCTTAGGGGTGTTCTAGATAGATGTTTTGATTGCATTCGATACTGAGGACTACAGCTATAGAGAGTCTGGATTGTGTAGACTCTAGTCAACTATAATATCGTAGGTTACAGATAAGTCTTATCTATGTATCCTCATCATGTGGAACAGGGCGTAATAGTTGCAATTACTTGCAGAAGTATCTTGTAAAATTAAAATTAAATGAAAATAATGAGAATTAAATTTTACAGAATTTTTTTAATGGTTATAAGAATATTTGGTGACATCGTATTGCTTTCAAAATTTAAATTTTTTTTAATAAACAAAATAATATATAAAGTTACCATTGGGTCAGTGTTTGTTAAAATATCTTAACAATTTACTTTTGTGATAACTATGTGCTCCTGAATATAACGATGCAAGTATTGTGAAAAAACATCAAAGAAATATATACGAAGCTAAATCAATCGCTCTCCAAACCTCCGCAAATTCGCAAATGTCAATTGCACTCAACGGATCGACGCGACGCGACGCCGCCGGGGACCTTTATAGAGCTCTAGACTTTATCATCGTAATCTAAAACAATAAATCTTAAACCTTGTACAATCGGGCATTGTATGTAACCTACAAACTTTCATTAATTATTAAAACAAAAGTACAAGGTTACAAAAAACAAGCGCAACCTTTTCCGAATTGATGATTTGAATCGCGACGGTTTTTTGACTTTGCGATCATTAAATCTGTGAACAGCTTCAACAGAGTCAATCATTATATCGGTCAAGTCTGTAATCATAATAATATGAAATCTTTGTCGTGGACCACCAATGAACTTAATAACTCACTCCAATTGCTTGGCGGCTTTCATAAAGTCTCAATCCAGTTATAACTGGCTGTCGACATTCATGAACGAGGAATTCAGATCGTGATCTATGTTCTAAATTTAACTCATTTAATGAAACAATAAATTGATACTGTCAGGAATTACAGACCCTTATTGAGACTAGATTTTTTAAAAACAAGTAAGTTTTTTAAGACTCAGGTGTTATATCGGTGAAGTCCCGTGAACGTTAGGTAATTCTTAGAAACTATTAAGCTGTATTGTTATATATAATCACTAATGATATTTATTTAATGACATTCATAATCTCTCTAAATTTTATTTAAAATTTGTCAACGAATTAAAATCGCTTTGTCATTACCCAATATCAGTTTGTTGGAGGACGAACTAAAGAAGTAAAAATATAGAAAAACACTTTTTAACGGATTTGAAGTTATGTTTTATTATAAATTTACAATCACCGTAAACACGCACGATGTAAAGCACGCGAAACGTCGGTTAAATTTAAAATTATGTAAAATAATTGTAAATTTATAATAAAATATAACTTCAAATCCGTTAAAAAAGTGTTTTTCTGTGTCTAATAATATAAATAAAATATTTAGTTATATGAATCACAAATTCCGATAGCAGATATTATTTAAAATTTTAATGAAATTGGTGTAATTATTTTGTTCTGTTTTATGTATTGGTGTTCAATTACGGGATAAAAATAAATACATACGTAAGAGTTATTTTTATATGTTCATTCAAAATGGGTTTTAGATAATATGATTATCTGTCTCATACAATGTAATAAAGACTGTTTCACAGCCAATAGATATATATTAAACTTAATTACTTAAAACTTAAACGCTATTTTAAAACATTGACGTAATAAATACACACAATATAATTGTATTTTTATTTATTACATACAAATTATATAATGAATAAGATTACAATATATAACTAACGTTTATAAACATATGTATTTTTTTTTTCAGAAACTGCCATACCCCAAAGCAGTGGGGTTCATTGTCACAAATGAATTTTGCGAAAGATTTTCTTACTATGGAATGCGTAGTAAGTACTTCGTTATCTTTTAATTCCATACAGTATTAACGATCGTCTTAACGTACATACTAATAATAATTATAATCATTAAAAATTAAAAACTAAAACGTAACTTGGTCCCTGTGGCCGTGTATTTCCTCGCTGTATTGCTTATTCGTGGAGCGGGGAAAGCATCAGCTCTGGGGTCACCGGTACTAACTACTAGGCGCCAACTTAAATCTTTAATTAGTGGAGGCTCAAACGGAACTCCTTGTTATCTTACTTTTAAATGTGAACGACGTGGAAAATCCTGTAGCGACTCCACACGAGTATTTATTGAGTATCTTAAATACAATTTTTACGAAACGTTCCGTTCAAAAAATAAATAGTATAGTTTAGTTTTACCTAAGTAAATGGGATAACTTATTTATCTAAATCAAACTCTCTCTCTCTCACTCACTCTGAATAAAAAATAACATATATTGCGATTTTTTGCGATTTTAACGTCTATATATGCGCAATTTTATTAATTTCTTTACAGCAAAACTCATACTACCTTGCCATGTGCAGGTATGACACATCAATGTGCCTTATAAATTAATTGATGTTAAAAATCAATTAAAATTATCAATAAGGACATATTGTATACATAATATGATTTTTCTTCTAGCTATTCTTGGAAATATAACTATAAAAGTATATTATATTATTTATAAAACTCTTAACTTTGTATTTGTAAAATTTAAGATATTGTATAAATTGGAACGCCAACATTTTGCGCGGGCTTTGCTTTACGTATTGTTTACCACAGTACCAATTATTTTATTCATATTCCAAATTTAAATTGCAAATACATCCGATAAAGTGTTTTTCTTTTCAAAAGAGATGCAAGTACGAAAACAATGGTGTCACAAACAATTGTTGTGACATAAATTCACTTTAAAGTAGATATTCTTTATTTATATACAGCAATGTGAATTATATAGTCGGAAGTCAGTTTTGCATTTAATATTTGGCAGTAAAAATCAGTTACTTTTTATCTAGTTTATAAAAGTTTAGTAAAACTAAATCTAAAAAAATTTTGCACACAATTTTAGCACATAGTATTGTCTTTGATTAACATAACTTTTATTCATTTAATAAAACACAATTTTGACGGTCACCGTGACCACGCACGCTGTAAAGCACGCGAAACGTCGGATAAATTTAAAATTATGTTAAATAGTTGTAAATTTATAATAATACATAACTTTAATCCGGTCAAAATAGTGTTTTATTACACAATTTTAGTTTTACTTTATTTTTAACATAATAACTGTTAACTGAGTTTTATGTTTGCGTTAACTTACTAATTCCTAACTTAGCTGTCTTCCTTCTGTGGTTTAGAAATTTCGATAATTGAAAGACCAAACCAATTTCATCGCCCTAGATTCACAACAAATATAGATTCACTGAAAGTCACCACAGGAAATCTATTACAGGTTTAAACTATTTTCTCACACCGTATAAATATCGACACCAATAAATTAAATGTTGTGTCACTTGACGTTACATTTCCGTTCGACCTATAAGTTAAAGATTTGTTTTCCCTCCCTTATTACACTTTTATTTGATTTAATAAACAAATATATGTGACAAATTTTGTATGCATAATATTTCCTATTAGAATACTAATATAAACTGTACAACCCGAAAAATAATAAACGATTCAAATATAAGAGTCATTCCTCCAAGTTTGATTTTATTCCATTTGGAGTAGAGACTTGGGCCGTGGGGTTGAAGTGCACAGAAAAATATTTAATTTGGCGCCTGGTAGATAGTACCGGTGACCCCAGAGCTGGTGCTTTCCTCGTTTAACGAATAAGTATTACAATGCAGCGAAGAAATGGTCCTAGAATTTAATTTACAATTTATCAATTTTTAGTTTTTGTTATTACTATGTATTTAGGTTAAGTATATTGTAATTACTGTAGGTATATTTGTGTGTTGGAAATAAAAATATTTTACATATAACCTGCACATTTAAGTTTCATATGTTTTTTTAAGTATATTATTTTAAATTAATCTGCCGGGACATTCTGACGGGGTGATAGTCGCATTCAGACTAAAGATCTATTTGAAGGTGACTCCTCGTGAGTAACCTAAATTACAAATTTAAAGCACAAATATAATCTATAAGTATTAGGTAACATGAGTTTTTCAACCCAATTTCCTATCACTATTATCGGTAAGGCGAAAACATTTCACAATTTTCTGATTACTAACGTTGTTGTGGCACAAATATTTTTATTTAAAAGGAACTATGACGTTTTAATCCTTTATATTAATTAGTATGTCACGTGTCTTTAAACCTTCTGAAAGTATGGGGAATATTAGTTTTATTTTTATCTAGTTTTTTACATTGGAACAGCTATTTAGGTATAGCTACAGGAACAAGTGGTTTAAACACTCTTGTTAGTCCATTTTGTGAGAAAGGCTGCACATAAAAATAGGAGCGGTGGCCGGTGTACCAATAAATGTTTTAAGTTATTCCTTATTGAGAGCTTCCGTTGCTGCGTAAACGGTAGAAACAGCATGTATTACTAAATTGTAAGAAAAAAATCAGTGGCGCTATGTAGAGGTCTTAGGTTTCTGTATCTGTTTCGTGGGCATTATTTTTCCTTAATAGGCAAGACAATGATCAGCATTCTGTGCCAGATACACGCCGTCGATTTTTGGGTTTAATTAATGCTGTTTTATTCACAATGTTTTCCTTTACCGCACGAGCGAGTGCTAGATACGGACATAGAAAAATATCCATTGCTGTAAGATTTATGCCGCACCACCATCACGTCAGATATCTAGGAAAAAACCCTCATCATTAGTATATGCATTTAGTAGCATCGATGGCACATACACAATTTTATAAATTAATCAAAGAACGACAAAATCGTAACATAATCCAAGACAAAAAGAGAATTAAATTAATCTTAATGAACATTTCAAGGCCGAAATTTAAACAAGATTAAACCAGCATAATATGTAGTTTGATAATACAGCTGTCTAACACACAGTCGTTATCATAATAACTATTGTTTTCTTTTAAGTAGCATAAACATGATTACTCGTGCGGCATAACTTTTAAAACAAAGCGATGTAAATCATCTTTTATTGTGTAACTCAGAACTCTGGGAATTACGATTGATTTTAAAAATATTATTCTGTTATTAGCATCAGCGTTGGTTCACTAAATCAATGGATGTGCTCTGTGCATTTTAAAATAAAGAAGGGAATTCAAATATTGGACCTGCTTGTATATGTATTGTGGTCATGATGTGGGATCAGCCCCGTTTTCATTATAATGCTTATTTTTTTTTCAATTTGGTCGTTTTAGCAAGCTACTTCAAGCCATCTATGCTGATTTTAATTTACCCACGGCAAAAACGGGACGGCTGAAATGAATACATTTATTATTATTATTTGAAGGGAACTACATCTAATTGTTTCTACTAATTAGCATCATATAAACGAACATATTTGAAGACATAACGACACAAGTGCCTTAATCAATGAAACAAATATAGATCCATTTCCTTCCCCGTCTCCCTTATTCCTCGTAACTTATCGTACATAATAAATACTATATTTACAAAACGTATTTTTTTTATTATTTTACGTAAATAGACTACAATATATGAGACAAATATAAGAGCGTTTATTTTGGAAAACAGGCTAAATTTAGTCAGCAAGTTAACTAGATTGTGTCCAGTATCGTGTTGGGGTATTACCAACTGTAAATTTGTATTATGTTACAATTCCCGGGGTTAACGACTCTACGTTGCCACAATTGCATTTATCATTTTTCTGTTATTACTAAGTAGGCACACTTCTATTGAGTGCAAGTGTCTAATCTCGGGTCTGAATCAGAGGGCACGAATTACGATTTCCTGACAGTAGACAGGCTGGTGCTAACCACTAGTATAACTATACTTTTAGTAGTTATTTAATGTATTACAATTCCTGTTGTTTCTAGCAATCCTATCGCTTTACCTACGATACAAGTTGGGATACACCGACAATGGGGCAACTGTAGTGTACCATACATTCACAATGTTCGCTTATTTCTTCCCATTAATCGGAGCTATGATTGCTGACAGTTGGCTGGGACGATTCAGGTAAATAACACAAATAATAGAAGAACTTCATCGGACAGTAACATAAATGATTTATCTATTTATTTATTATAACACTTTCCCGTGAACTATCGTCCTCAAACAGCTATGTATATGCAGTCAAGTGTTTAGGTTTCACTTAATGACGTTTACCTTCACCCAAATGAATATTTTACTAAAGACCTGTTCTTTATACACGATATAACACAATTTACTTAGGGCCGACCGAAGTCTTGGAAAAGTTGAAATACATGTATGTAAATTATTTTTATCACCCTTAACAGTACAATCTCTATAAAAAATGCAATCATACCAACAATACCGTGGGTATTACATAAATACATTCACAAAAAACATTTTTTCACGCTTAATTGATTTGAAACTTTCCTCCTATCTCTCTATTATCAATTGAAATATATATTATATAGTCATATGTCTGATACTGACTTTTATATGCAAAATAGCAAACTTTTTATTAGCTTTGTAAACAATTGAACTAACCTTCAAACATCAAATAAACAACGATTTTAACTTCAACGTGTTACGTGACGGTGTCGATATTGAAAGTGTAAAACTTTTATCGATTTCACCGGAGTTATTGCGTTGTAACAAAATTTGGTAGATATAGACAAAATATTATGCATCTTTCGTAAGCTGGGCCCTGACGCTGTAGCTTCCATAGCGGGACAGCGACCCGAATCAAATAATGAGTTTTTGAGGTTGGTTGACATCATCGCTACGGATATTGAGAACTACATCCAATTTGCAAACAAAAACGTCTGAATCTGTATTCCTGTCCCGCTATTGGAAGTTACGGAGCAAGTCCATAAAACAGGATCCACGCTTGAGGTTTTTTTTAATTTCGTTCGATTCACACTTGCATAGTGTTGGCCGAGACCATAGTTCTTGAGAAGCTGGTTCCGTATTCGACTCCTCTTAAGTAATTGTTAAATTGTGAGTTTAAATCCTGGATTTTTTTAATGCGATACAAGAGCATTAAGTCGTTACTTTAGCTTACAGAATTTAATGCAAATAACGGAGGTGAACATTTAGGATTTTTTAACCGTGATAGTGTTATTATAATTATAATTGTAGTATAATAACAATAAAGTTTATCAGAACTGCTGTTTCAATTTCGAATGAAGTTTTTAAAACAACTTATATACATTCAGAAATTTAACATTACATTTATAAAATCTCAGGCTTTATGTAACAGATTCTTTTAATTTCAGAACAATATTCTATCTGTCACTAGTTTATGCGACGGGAAGCATCCTTATATCACTGACAGCCATGCCGCCTCTAGGCTTGCCACAAATGTGAGTATTATTACTGGATATTCGATATCAATCGAAAGAATATCATTTATTCAGGTAGGTATTACGCTGATCATAAACACTATGCTAAATTTTCGTTTACTGTCAATCACATCAAGGGCGACCGGACGAGAAGAACTTCAATAATATTGTGAATATAAAAAAGGTCACCCTGGCCGTGTTTTTCATTATGAACCCAGTAAACACAAAAACTACCCAACGGATTGTATCTACTGTTTTCAATAATCGATACCGTGATTCCTGAGGAAGGTAAATCGTTGTCTGTAAATTGACTGAAACATAAAAGTTATCGTTGAAGATGTCGCAAAAAATTTCAATATACACGAAAACAGCGTGAGCGAAGCTATGGACGTAGTCACTAATAGGTAGAAGGTAATAAAATGTTGTGTATACGTTTTACTATAGGATGAAATATATAGCTGACATCATGGTTTAGTAACGGCTCACAACAATGTATAAACCATAGCTTTATATTGAATTTACTATCGCGGATTTCTCAGAAAATATCACAAATTAGCAATATGACTGCAATCCACATATTACATGTGCTAATAAAAACATTATTTCAGGGAAATCACAATTTTAGCACTTCTCCTAATAGCATTCGGTACGGGTGGAATAAAACCTTGTGTGTCCGCCTTCGGAGGGGATCAGTTCAAGCTACCTGAACAGGCGAGGTACTTGGGATACTTCTTTTCCCTGTTTTACTTTTCAATCAACGCTGGAAGTCTGATCTCAACTTTCCTAACACCGATCTTAAGAGCTGATGTACACTGCTTTGGTGAACAGGACTGTTACTCCCTTGCTTTTGGAGTGCCTGGTTTACTTATGATCGTATCTATTGGTGAGTTATAAACAGTTTTTATGACTTTTATTTCAATACAATTAAACAGTTCACGTTTAATAGATTTAAAACTGGGCACTGCTCTTATCGCCTCGGTAACTTTGTCCTTTATTTATTGATTATTTTATATAATCCGTTTTGAATCCCGCCTAAACAACAATTTTGTCACAGAAATGATTAAAAATTGATAATTGAAACCGACATTTATTAAGGTGACCAACTATACTCATTTACTGAGTTCTTGAAGTCTTAACAGTAAAATTTAATATGCAAAATGAAAATGAACTTGGCGATTAAAAAGAGTGGTGGAGAGTTTATTGACAGTTCTTCTCTTCCGTTCTACGCCCTTGATTTGAGAACTGGCACTAAATGTAAAGTTAGAAGCATTTCATATACATTTCTTTTTTTGACGTTCATTAGTGTACATTGTTGTTCAAAGTTGTACGGATGTGGCTACATTAGACCAACATCCTCATTTAGCAAAAAAAAAATTTGTTTTTAAAAGAAAATAAAGTTTTTATCGTTTTTTTTCACCTACCATATAAAATACTTGTAAAGTGTACTCTTTTTGAACAAAAAGTAGTTGGTCACCTTACATTTATAGACCTTGATTAGTTTATCACCCCGTAACTATGAGAATAATAAACTATAATATAATAAGGTTTGTATTGATACGGTAAAATCCTCGCAATTTTTTTATGTCATTGCCCTTCATATTGCCCTTCGATAAATGAGGTCAATAAGATCGCTAATCTTTTATCATTGAGAGAGTGACCACTTGAGATAAAATAATGGAGTAACTGTATATGTCTCTATAATGTAATATATGTCTCTATATACATTAATTAATTTTAAATACATCTCTCTCATTTACACAGAAACACGCACAACAAACAGCTATTGGCTACCTAAATAAATAAATATTCATATTATTAAAATCAATTCCAATCCAATTCCAAAAATATAAAAGAAATATTTTTTTTCCACTTAGAATGGTTGTATGCTAAGATTATTAGGGAATAAGGGCAGAGACAATTTTGCTTATAATTTATTTTTAATTTTTCTCAATTCAAATTGGAGAATTAGCCCTAAGTTGGCCCTGAATATATTGATTGTTAGGTTACGTTTGAGTAATGTTAGATAAAAAAAATCGATTTCAGACGCAGTCGTCAAAAGAACCACTTCGTGAATACCACTTCATAATTCATTTACTAATTACTTTTGACTCATAAGAGATTTCTTGAACAGAATGGCTACTGCCTACTCCTTGCAGTTTGCATACATTAGGCTCTCGTTAGAGTTTTCCTAAAAAGTATTTGAATAGTTTTTATATTCAGTGAGAGCAGTGTTGGCCTAGTGGCTTCAGCGTACGACTCTCATCCCTGAGGTCGTAGGCTCGATCCCCGGCTGTGTACCAATTGACTTTCTATCTATGTGCGCATTTAATATTCGCTCGAACGGTGAAGGAATCTTCGTTCGTTTGAGCATCGTGAGGAAACCGACATGTCCTAGACCCAAGCAGTCGAAGGTGTGTGTCAGGCACAGGAGGCTGATCCCCTACTTGCCTATTAAATTTAAAAATTATCATGTTACAGATACAGAAATCTGAGGCCCAGACATAAAGAGGTTTTAGCGCCACTGATTTATTTATTTTTTATTATACTCCGTGCTGCCACCATGATCTTTAAAAAGGCGTAAAGTAGGCTTTAAACTATGAGTTAGTCAAAGTTATATAAAGTTTCATTGTGTGTGTGACGTTCAAGTATCGCTTATCATAAGATGAACCATTACTCGAAACGATTACTACCCGGTTATCGTTTATTGAAATGTAATCAATACGATTTGCTGTAATAAAGAATTAAATAGCTTCATAGATAACATTAATTAAGTGTAGGAGAGTATACAACTCTAAACAAACTTTTTGGAAACCAAATCTCTTTTCCTTGAAATAGTTTTGCTTTGGAACCGACCAGTAGGGTTACCCTGTACAACCGATACTGATTTTATGAAGCTATAACGATCTTAAAAATTGGCTTAAAAAACGGAAACCACCATTACTGTTGCGCTTATGTCGCAAACTTGGAATGACTAAAACCTAATATTTAATCGGGATTGATAAGTTTAATTTACAGGGCCTGAAGAACCAAGTTACTTGAAAAAATATATATAATCTGTATTACGAAAACTATAATGAATTTTATTAAAATATAATAAACATATATTTATTTTTAGGTTTCTTCGTTGCCGGGAAAAAGCTGTATATAATCAAAAAGCCAGAAGGTAATATTTTGGGAAAAGTGTCTTCTTGCGTTGGTGTAAGTATTTTTTGTACTTTGTTCTATTTATCGATGTGTACCTTTTGAGGTTTTCTTTTAATTATGGTCAAAGGTGAGGTGAGGAAGAAAATCGGTTAGAAATAATAAATTTAGTGTATACAATATTGATGAACTCTTCTCCCGATGCCTACACCAGATTCAAACAAATTGAATAGATACACAAAATCAATTATTTTTTTACAATACAACAGACAATTTTATTTTACAGTATGCTGTAGTAAAATCAGTGAAAAGCAAAGTTAAACGACACCATTGGTTAGACCATGCTGATGATAAGTTTGACAGTAATCTCATAGAAGACGTCAAATCATTATTAAGAGTTCTAGTTCTCTTCATTCCGTTACCAATATTTTGGGCCTTATTCGACCAACAAGTGAGTATCTTTTAAAAACAATTAGGCGTGGTTTATCTACAAAATAATAGACCGCCTTTTCTTAAAAAAGGTTTATTACTCATTATCTAGTCGGGTGTGATCAAACACTTTACACTTCTAAACTGCTGTCGAACATATTTTTTACGTTTAAATACGATAAAAAAATATTATTATAATACATAACATTGGGGCGCGCGCCGACGGACGATCGCGACAATAATCAATCAAATTGCGAACTTTTGAGGTGTACATGCTCAGATATAGTTATATTCACTAGTGCACTAAGCTGCCTAGAAGTATTTCAGAATCAATTCGATAGGGTTTTCAATAAAAGAGCATATAAGTGCATAGGCAGACGCATATCGGACATGATTGATAGCAGATTGCGTATTTTCCAATAAAAAAAAATGTTGTTTGAAGACAATTCCTTCATCTTAACTGTCACGGTTACAGGGTTCCAGATGGACCTTCCAAGCTGACAGAATGGAGCAAAATATCGCTGGATGGACTTTGAAAGCCGATCAAATGCAAGTTCTGAATCCTCTGTTAATTTTAGTGTTTATACCACTATTTGAAGTTGTAAGTAATTCTTATATACCTATACATTTACAAACTATTCACCCCGTAGCTCATTACACCTATTTGGTTAGGTTAGTTTTAAATGGGTCGCATTACGAGGAATTGACCCCATAAGTGTTATTGTAAAATGATGATTTAAGACAAAATAGATAAATAGAACACAGAAATAAGTTTAAAATGATTGGGCCTTGTACCAATGTACCTTAAATGCCGGCAGCATTTCCTCGCTGTATTGCGATACTTCTTCGTTGAGCGAGTGATTCGTTATCTACCATAGGTTTAGATGGTAAATTAAAATATTATATAACTCTTTATTAGAATATAGATATTTATTGGAATTAATAGCTCATCTCATCTTTAAAATCTAGTCTAGTCTTGTCGAGCGTTGAGACCTTATTTTATATAGAATAAGTTCATATGGTGTAAAGATGGAAAAGTCTTTGTGAGAAAAACAGAGAAGAGTATAATTCATCAGATTAGATCTAAAACCTGTCGCGTACCTAAACAAGACTGCTATGGTTACATTTATACAAACCACAGCGGTTATCTTATGTAACACATTATGATTCTATTGTATTCAGTACTCTGTAATATATATATATTTAAAAAAACATTAATTTATTTCTGTCGTATTATATATGTGCTAATAGGTACTATGACACATCAGAAATAGAGTTAAGTCAATGTAATAAGACTGAATTCTGTAGATATATGATGTTTTTAGGCTATTTATCCATTCTTGAGGTGGTGCAAGCTGGTTAGCAAGCCATTACATAAAATGATTTGGGGTGGCGTATTGGCGGCTTTAGCGTTTTTGATATCTGGAATAGTTGAACTCAACCTATTGGTAAGATGTAATTATGATAAAAATATTCTTTATTTACATTTACTATCCTTAATCAAAATTAAAGTGGTATTCAATTTACAACTAATCGTTTTTATGACAAGTGAGAAACAAAAACTTTGTCCGTTTCTCATACCGTTTTAGTTTTTAATATACATAATAAAAATAAGATAAAATTCCATAATACATTGCACGGGAAAGTCCGTAAGCAAAGTCTCTTATTTAATTTAAATTTCCATTAAAATTAACCAAAATAGAAGTAAATTTTTCTACATTAGTATATTATAAGAAATCTTAAATTTTTAGCCGACATACGGAACACCCGTAGCTCCGGGGTTGGCGCAGTTACGAGTATATAACGGTTTTAATTGTAACTTTACTTTGACCTTACAAAGTGACGCTAATAGTACAGAAAACTTCATAGTCGGTTCGCTGGGAGTATTCGAAAAGTTAGACCTTGAGGCAAAAGAGGCGATTGAATTACCTTACTCTCTCAGGGGACAAGAAAGCACTGCTTGCGCTAATAAGTTATATAATGGCAACTTTCTACTTAACGAGACAACAGCCAACTCTTTCTTTATTAACAATGAAACAGTTGAAGGTTTTACTGATAACAACGATAAGGCTATCGATGGAGTTATTGTTAGGTAAGTTGCGTTTTTTTATATAAAAATTATGATGACTGACAAATATTAGGTGTGTGAATTTTGAGTTTTTTTGTGTTTAAGTAATAAAATAAATATAAAGAGAATTTCTATACAGTAATAATAGTATAATGAAACATATAATTCGTTTTTAAATTTAAATAATTCTCTAAATAACTGCAAGCATAAACAATGTGCATACAATTAAAGTTTTATGTTACATTTCATCTCTCACATTTTTACCGCAATTTTCATTAGAATAGTACTTCGTGTATAAATCATTCCAAAATTCAAACATTTTGTGTTCCGGCCTTGAATCGACTATTTTATTATTTTTCGCAAATAGATACACGTTGTCATCGTATTTGGTCATTGGCAACCATGTATTATTTTGATAATTGGGCGTTGGTTTTCCATATTTGGCAAAATTAGCCCAAATATTCGCAATCTGTGTGATGAAACTTCGATCTCGATTGTGCCGATCTTGTTTGAGCTTTACATAATTTTCCCAAAGTGGGTCACATCTAAGAATATAACAAATTTCATCACCTTGAGCAGCACCTTTTATTTTTGTATTTGCACCGGCTACAGCCGTCATTTTTGCTGCATTGAGATTGCCAACATAATTAAACTTATAGACAAACAATTCACTTCCGGTAGCATTTAAATATGCTTGAACAAATTTGTATATCGGGTATTTGTGAAGATCAGTAACATACTTTAAGAGGTTTTGTAAAGAGTTTTCGTTTATTCCTCCTTTAAAATAATGATTTAATATTAAGTCCCCAACTTCCTTATATTTTTTAGAGCCATATTTATACTTGCAAGTATTCAAAAAAGGAACCATAAATTTTAATGGTTTTAGAGATTCCATGTATTGAGGATTGTGAATGAAAGGCAATACTTCGGTAATACTTTCTTGACTCGAGAAACCTAACATAATTGGCATTTCTGTAAGTCGTTGAAGATTTGTAATTCCTGGAAGGGTGTGCTTTGAAATCAAGTAGCGTTTTGATTCGGATTCTTGAATAGGCATAAATGGTATAAGCGGTCTCTGGACGTTAAGAATATTTTTATTATTATAAATGTTTGCCGTATGTGCTACTAAATCATTTGCAGATGCCTTTGCTAGATTTTTACCTGCGGCTTGCAAAGCCATTTCTAGTTTCATTCTTTCCAAAGCAGGGTCACCTTGAAACAAAGAACTCGAGTATATAGAGCCACTTTGTAGAATTACCTTTGAAAAGAGCTTCCGAAATTTGGTCATCATTAGTAGGGAAATGAATGTTGCTGCTGACCCAGAAGCCATTACAGTCAAACGGTCCTTGTTTCCTCCAAATTGGCCAATGTTTTTCTTTATCCATTTTAGGCCCATTACAATGTCCTTAAGACCCATATTAGTATGGTTATCTGTGTCGTTCAATTTTAAAAATCCAAAAACGGATATTCTATGAGTTAATGTAACTAAAATGACATCATTATCTATTAAAAAGTCCCCTCCGTGAATATGACTAAAGCCTGAAGTAAAAGCGTATCCATGTATCCACACTATAACAGCCTTTTCAGTTCGTAATTCATATATTGGGAGATAAGGAGTGTATATATTTAAATGCAGACAGTCTTCAAAACCATACGTCCCATGTTTGTGAACAATATGCTGTTGAGCACATGCTCCACGATACTCGGTAGTGGCGTCAAAAACCTTCGTTGATTTTTCCAGAGCCACGGGATTTTTAAATCTTAACTTCCCAACAGGTGCTTGTGCGTATGGAACCCCATAAAAGGCGTAAAATGTTCTTCCGTTAAATACTGACACTTCAGTCGTGCCTAATATCACACCTTGTTTTAATTTTACTTCCACTCTACAATGCGTTGCAAATAGTTGACACAAAAATAATATAAAGAGACGTAGCATAGTTTAGGTTGTAAGAAATTGTGATGTAAAGAATGTTTAGAAAAGCGCGATAATGTGGAATTAAATTTTTTGAAGCAAATCGAGATATTACTTTTCAGGTTACTGTGCAATTTAAATGAAGTTGTTTCAATCAGAGTATATAACAACAAAATGGAGAAAACTGTGTTAAATTTCTTAAGTAGTGACATGACTCAGAAGTCCTTGGTAAAAGGGAAATATGACATTTTAGTAAACGATACAGTAGTTTTAAAGGACATGGCTTTTCAAACTGGCGCTGTCTATACCATCAATGTTAATGAAGATCCGACCGGTTATGTATGTATTGTATATACTTCTTAATAATTAATTAAAATTGTACGCTCCGTTTCTCCTTTGGTTGGATGGATAATGCAGTAAATTCTCATTTCGGACCATACGTCTTCTCATTGGTTATAAAAGGTAATCAGTGACCTGAAATTTGAATGTCCCATCAAAATTAAGTGTTTATTATCTGACACAATGTTCATGTTAATACATTGAAAATAATCCAACTACTTGTCTTTCAGAATGCAAACGCGGTAGTAATAACACCACCGAATAGTATCCATATCCTCTGGCTAGTTCCACAGTACGTGGTGATGACTATGGGTGAGGTGATGTTTTCCGTCACTGGTCTTGAGTTCTCCTTCACACAGGCTCCAGCTAGTATGAAGTCTGTGCTGCAGTCCATATGGCTACTCACTGTTGCATTTGGAAACTTAATCGTTGTATTGATCGTTGAAGGAAACTTTTTAGATGCTCAGGTTTGACAATTTTCTTTTAAAATTTTATAGATTTAGATTATATAGATCTTTTAAATTTAATTTCCGTAGATTAATAATAATAATAAAAACTTTATTTATAACAAAAGGGCTATGACAGAATTCATATATCGCTAGTCCCCAGACTAGGGACGCCCTGTGTTGGTGGTAACTAGAAAACAATTATTCCGTGGTACATGGTACATGTTTAAAACAGTTAAGATTACTTGTATTATTTAAATATTTTAGTTTTTTAAGATTTGGGCTAACTATAAATACCAGTGCCCGCACTTCGTCTGTATGCAATAAGAAAATAAGGAAGAAATTAATTCCTTATTTCTTCATAAGGAAGGAACTAATGAATTACTTTTCATTAGTTCCTTCCTTTTGCTTACTTTCTTCTTTTAAACATTAATTAAAATTTTAATCTCTATGTCACTGTGTTTCTGATTTCTGAAGAAAATCTTCACGGGATTTCAAAATCAATTCAATAGTTCCAGATATTACTTTAAACAACCAAATCTAAGAAGTTTAGAATATGTCCAATGTCTCATGTCCACTCGTGTTGTCTCCATAGCTTCTATGATATGTACAAAGTCGTAACATGCCGTTATTTATTTTTAAATCAGACATATATGAACCTTACGCATTTAGGACTATTCAAAATGATTTCTGTTGCTAGAAGAAACCAAGTAATCTCACCATAAAAATAGAACTATAAAAAACCTATTTACAGTTGTAACGATTATCATATTGTTTATATAAACTATTATTACGACGTCTGAAACATTGATATTACACAGATACACCCACAATTCTTGTATTTATGTGAGATATGTTTTTTTCAGTGGAAGGAATTCTTCTTGTTCGCGGGTCTAATGTTGGTGGATATGATGATTTTCACTGCGATGGCCTTAAGATACAAATACGCTGAAATTAAATCTAGTACTGAACAACTGCCAATAGAAGAGATAAGACTGCCAAAAAAGGAATAATTGTAATTTTAGAATAGTAGAATAAAGTAATTATAAATTTATCTTTGCTTACCCTCTTATTTCATCGTCCCATAATCCATTGTTCACATCTGATTTTGACCCACACACACCATGTTTCAGCAAGCTTCCAAGTATTAAGTTCGACTATAAAAAAGGGTAAGAAAATTTAAAAAGTATACAATTAATAGACTAGATTGTGAAAGGAGTTTCTATGTAAGACTCATATGAAATAAAAGATAAAAAGGTAAAACAAAAGCTGCACATACAGATAATATTTAAAAACAATTTTCCATAAAAACTAAGTTTAGTAAAATACACAGTGAATTGAACAAATCTGGTCGAGTTAAATGGCGTGAACACATTATACAATTGGTTTTGGATAATTTGTGTGTTGTTCCCATAGATCGAGATGAGTGCGCTCGTGACGTCGGTTAACCCTCCGAGAAACAACTGCATGGGGAACAATTGTGGTTCTCAACCCTAGCGGCTTAGATTGGCTTCAGTGTGCGACTCACATTCCTGAGGTCGTAGGTTCGATCACCGGCTGTGCACCAATGGACTTTTTTTTCTATGTGCGCATTTAACATTCGCTCGAACGGTGAAGAAAAACATCGTGAGGAAACCGGCTTGCCTTTGACCCAAAAAGTCACCGGCGCTCGTCAGGCACTTGCCCATTAGATTAAGAAATGATCATGAAACATATACAGAAATCTGAGGCCCAGACCTAAAAAGGTTGTAGCGCCATTGATTTATATATTTTTGACTACCTAACAACATAATAAATAAGAACCTATTAGGTAAATCTGTTTTGCATGATTTGATTAGCCAAAGCCTACGTCTCTGGTTGCATAGTTCAATTTAGACCGTTCTAATGACTGAGTGAATCCCAAAAATAATAGTTAATTAAAAAACATTGAAGTTTGAGAACCCCCTTTCCGCAGTGCACGAGTCTGCATGTGACTTGTTAATAATTGCGTATAATAAATGCTTAAATACAACAAACATACAAATACGGGCAGGGGTGAACACAAAAAGACCTATTTGGTTTCCTACTACAGATATCAATGGTTTGTACAACGTGATCATTTTCAAGATTTGTTCTAATTTTTGGACAACTGGATATGATTTTAGCCTAAAACTAAATAAGATATCATTCAAAATGGGTCTTTTGCATAATTGATACTTGCCCGTCGGATGAATTGTCCGTCGAAAAATTCCTTGCAAATATTCCTAGACAGTTTCCTCATAAGTCGATGAAACAGATACATAAATGTGTCCTACAGCGTCCTTTACTCTCATTCTAAATTAATTACAAAAATTATATATAAGAGTGTAGCAAGATGCGATATATACCAGTTTTAAAAAAAGACGCCCAATGTGTAGGCAATTGTTTAAGTTGTAAACATTTAACACTAACAGCCGTGAAGTATGTCATGTTTGTATGGTACAATTGTATACGGTCATAAATGGAGTTTTGACGAAGGCGTCGGTACTCTTTCCGGGCACTTGGCAGAGCGCGTGCCGGCCGCGTGGCTCTTGCGCAGGCCACGCTCTACTCCTTACAAAGCGCAGCTGCACCACGTGCTTTTCCAGATAATCTGCCCCAAGCATATGCAGCCAAATAAATAAATTAACTGGAGCCTATAACGGTGGTTTTCTGGTGAGCTTGGCGGTTCTTTAATCTCATGAGAAAATTAAATTGTTTGAAATCCCAATTAATTGCAATGGTGTTCGACGTTTATGAGTTCTAATGGTGTCTTAGGAATAGTGTATTTCTCGAAAACATGTAGGTATAAAAAGTGATTATTAACATAAAACACTAGAATTTATAAGGATTTCATTGTTATTAAGGACAAACCAGTATTTGGCTAAATAGGAACTATTTTTTATTTTGACTCTATATTATAATGATCCTAAACAGAAATAAGTTATATGTGTTCCAGACAGCGAAACCATTACACATTATCAATACCGATTAGGTTTCGGAATAAAAAAATTGTCAAACATAATGCGGCTTAGAAACCAACGATATAAAATTTTATTTAAATTAATTTAAAATTCGCAAATCAGCTCTTTGAGGTCTCTAAACTATAAGGGGCGTAACATGTCACGCGGGGGTCACGCGACCCGACACTGGCAGGCCCGGGTCGTATCCTCCGCCACGACAAATCAATTACAGGGTCGAATTGGGACGTACTTCCGAATGGGAATTAGCACCAAATTATACAGGCAGAAATTACTTGTTTGTACTTATGGGGCGAATGTATAATTTATAGGCACCGTTGCACGGCTTGTTATATGACAGTTAATTTTATGTTCACACGGTGTTTTAATGATAAGACTGCACGTTTTCAAAAGTTAATATGTAGTAGTGAAGGAATTGTTATCAAGTATAAAAACTATAGATTATAATCGTGTATTTTTTCAGAATTTCTCTTCACAATTGTTAAATGAAAACATTCAGAATGCTATTGCTCCCGTATTGGTTGAGTTTGACTTATTGAGCAATCTACGTCGTATCAATGTCGAAACGTGTTCAAAATATAGACAACACTAGGCTAGGCTTATTATTGTTTCTGTGCAAATTCTGTTTGTAAACCAAAGTAAAGTATTTTAATAAATTTTCAGTTATTTAGTTAAATTGCTCTCTTTTAACTTAATTACATTTTGCCGCATTGTGCCAAAATGTATTTATGCTGTGATAAAGAGACTTAAAAGTTATATATTTACTGCTGCAACTAACATACAACATTAAACTACTAGACAAGTGTATTACTACTTAAAAAATAAAAACTTCTTACATTCGTCTGACTGACTGAGTAGTCTTCCCCAAAAAATATCCAGTTCTGGTATGGTACTGAGGCAACGGTTAAGCGGCGAAATCATATGTGGAATTGGTGACTGCTGGCGGAGGACAGTTGAGCTACACAGACAGCAGGGCATGCCTCCGCTCATAAGTAGTGCAGTATTAATTGTCATCTTTGACCTGACCGAGAATGAATTAGAGTAACACATAAAGAATCCGAGACGCCCATATGTAACGTCAGCCAGTGAACGAATGTGTTCGCGAAAAGTAAGACTAGGCACAAACATCTTTAGTAGTTTACTTATTACCCTATCACCTACTTTGTAAGTATCGCTGATTTTAATATGGGAGCTGATTAAAAATCCACAAACACATTTCAATATTACATAAGAGTTTATTCTTTACTTCAAAATATTTTATGATCGTCGGCAAAAGTAGAGTAAGTGGTTGATTAATAAATATACCTATAAACCGCATTGGTCCATGGGTCGAACCTTGGCTTATTACAACCAATATTGGTTTATTTTTGAAGACGAACATCATTATTAACTCTGTCGAACGCCTTACAAAAGTCGAGGTACACAACGACGGTCCTCATACAGTTGACATGAGTTAAAACGGTGCAACTAAACTAATTTATTTTTTGTGTTGATTAAAAGCAGCTTATAAACGCAATATACATACAAAATTATATAATATGTTCGTACCTAGATTATCTCACAAAGGAGTACCTAATAATATATAAGCCTGTCTTTGTCAAGGCAAAAGTGCATATGCTAAACGTAATTACTAAATATATCATTTCAGCAACATTGCTTGTTGAAATAGGAAAACCCTCAGAGTGACAAAACTTTAACTATATTAAACATTAATTAATGTCAATAAGTAATTTAACGATTAATTTAATAATAACGTACATATTTAATGATATAGGCATCAATGAGACCATGATCATTGTTCTAGCGATGGAGGAATTTACAAATAAATGTAGTTATTCACACAGAGCAGTTGAAAAATAACAGTAGTTTTTTAGGTATATTAATATTTACGCACAACAGACCGAGTTTAAGTGCGGAAACTGAGTCCACCAACCATACCAAACCATACGTATATTAATACATATATTGATAAATTAAAGGGATTATGACGAAATAGACGAACTAGGATCACAGGAAACAATTTCTGGGGATACAAAGAAGTACTGATATGAACATGATTCGAGCCGAAACAAAAACTAAGATGCTGTCAACGAGAAATGGAACGCAGTGTACTTAATTTAAAACTAAAGCACAAGATGACAAGTACAGAAATGTGAAAGAAAACATAAATTATTGATGCACTGTAGCATTGCAAAAATCTTAAGTGGAAATAGTCGGGGCACACCACTCATCAACAATGACAGATGGAAAAACAGGGTAACGAGATGGAAAAGAAAGCCCGGTAGCCCTCTTACAGGGTGGTACGAGCTTAAAGAAGTTGTTGGGGAAGATTGGCGGAAAAATGCTCAAGATAGAGCGAGATGGAGCCGATTGGAAGAGGCCTTTGCTCTAGGAGTCAGTGAAAAAATATATAGTTTTTAAAGTTAGTTTTTAGCTTTTCTAAACAGTATTGTTGCAAGGAATAAACTAGGCCTAATTATTATTGTTATTTATATATATTAATCTATTTTTAACGAAAAATCTTTTAATATACGCGAATTAGAATAATATATATGTAAGGAAAACATAATATTTATTTATTTACACTTTGTTGCTTTATGATATAAAAATTTAAAACATTTAAAAAAAATATAATAATAATAATAAAAAGTGCACATGAATAATTTTAATTTAATTTAAGATCAGTCTCACGTCAGTTAGTAGGTATTATTAAAGTTAGGGATACGATGTGGACAGGTAATGTTTGTACAGAAGAAATTTAAAGGAAGATAGAGAAGGAGCTAAGCGAATAGGGACTGGAAGTGAGTTTCATATATTTTCCTATACAAACTCTTGTCTATATTGTATTTTATATAAACTCTTTTGTAATGTTGTCTTTGCCGTCTGATCGACGATGTTTAATTTATGTCACTTGACATAATATATGTAAGATATTTTAATTTTTTCATTATATTATTTTACTTTATAAAACTTAGAATATAAGCTTTAAATGTTGTTTCTTTTGTATTTACAGAGAAACGAAGTTGCGCCTGATTTATTCCCAGTATAAGCGATTGATACTATTATATATAATATTGAAAGATAGTACAAACCAGTTAGTCGAGTAGAATTTAATTCAGAAATAGAAAATAAATTCCGACATAGCATGGCCTAAAAATAACAAAGCCTTCCCAGCGAGGCGTGCATTTAATGGCTGTCAGAAACACTCAACCAATGGGAAATCTTGGGACTGTTGGGGAAAAGCGGATCGATTATACCACCCGTTGTTAATCTAAACATAATAAATAGCCCACAAACACATTTAGAATTCAGTCTCTTTACAATATATTGAATTGTATATACTTATACGGTACTATTGTACTGTATTTTGATTGGAACGATTTATGTATGTACATTTACTACATCTTGAATATATTTAGGTTACATTATTAAATTAGTCACTATATTGTTGTTACGGGATATTTTAGCGAGTTTATCTGTGTCTTATAAATAAATAAACCTTAGTAGTGTCTTTAAATAGATAATTTTGAATCATATATTAAAAATTCACATTTTCTTTTTACATTTTTGTTTTGCATGTAATCAGGTTTTATTCCCACGAGAATGTAAGTGCGTGCTCCTATTTCACCATGCTTCCTGCTGATAGAGGACAAGTCTTTGTTTTTAAGTTTTGTTATTATTAATTACTTAAGATGATGTCATGTGGAACATGGTGTAATGGTTGCAGCTCTGGCTGGCACTAAATGTAAAGTTAGAAGCATTTCATATACATTTCTTTTTTTTGACGATCATAAGAGTACATTGTGTTACCTATATGATTAAATGATTTTTTGAATCTTATTAAAAAATTCAAATAAAACTGTTGCCCATACAATATTTAATCCCAAAGTGATAAAAATAAGCCTGCGAATCAAATACATATATTTTGTGTTATAGAGCGAATAACAATTTATATTTTAAAGCCTAACTTACTTAACAATATACATATATAATAAAATAATTACATACCTATATGGTCGATATGTATGAGAATATCAAACTCCATTATAGAGAAAACTTAAAAAAAATTGTATTTACTCTGTTAGTACAATTATTATTACGGATTTTTCGCAATAATGTAATTAAAGTCTTAACCTAAAAATATAATTAAATCACAAGAAAATTGCGAGTCAGTATTGATCGTTTGAACTTTAGATTCAAAAGGAAATTCTTGTATAGGATTATACTTTCAAGAATTAAAAGCGGTCTGAAACTTCTTTTATATTATAAATTTTCCGAGAAAATCGATTTAGGCCCAACCCCTCACCGCCCTATTGTCGCAAACTCCGCCCCTGTTTTGGGATTTTTGTTCATACAGCACACATACAAAACTTCGTACATCAGAAATTAGCCCTTATACCCACACCAGTAAGATGCACGCTTCTGTTGCGGCAAAGTAAATTTCCCCGCAGTAGGGGTTGAAGTTCCCGCAAAATGGCCACCCTCAGCGGTATAAAATTAATTTTTTACTTAGTTCCCTATCAGTGTCCTTTCGTGTCGACAGTAATAATCAGGTTGGCCAGGGATTTGTAGCAGAGATGTCAGGCACTAGAACGCAGGTTGCAGACTCATCCACGTCACCACCTCTAATGTGAATATAATTTATTAAGTTACTCTTTGTGCTGTGTATTGATTTTATAACGATATTGTAATTTTATAGTGATAATCGTCGGCTCGATTATTCTGCACTGAAATTCACTTATGTCGACGGATCTGATGACGAAAGTGCGATTACTTCGGAATTGCCGTCGTGTGTGTACGCTGCTGCCAGAAGCCGTCTTCAGCTGCCTTTAGCTGCCTATGTTCATCAACATTCTCGACAAATTCATACAGGTGAAACTGACTATTATTACTAATAAGTGCTAAACTTTTATTATCTAATAGGTCTTTATTTTGTAGGCATAGCGATGACTTCCTTATTAAAATATTGTTTTTCTGTAAAACCTTTCTCATCTATCTAATAGTTTTAAGAGAGATGCCTTAATTTTAACAATGATTCCCGTGTATTTTCATCATTACAATAAAATAAAAATTGATATAGTATTAAACGAATGAATACGGAACTTTATTGATTTGATCATCTTGTTGTATAAATATTAAAAACTTTCCGAATTTCGCATTAAAACTGCCTTAAAATTTTCAATATTACAAAGGATACAGCAAAAAAATACGATGTATCTAAGTACATTATTAAAGCTTTTGTATTTTTCTTTGTTACTATTTGATTTAATTATAAATTATTACAACATAGCTTCCATTATTTGGAAAACGGGCAAAATATTGAGCGATACTTCTCGCTGTTCTTCTGTACGACACGTAATTTTTTAGTTTTGGCAACTTGTATAAATAAAATACTTCTCAATCACGCCAATCCTTGAAATCCTTTCTTGAGTAGAAATAGACTTCATGTGACATATTCTATTAAAAGATGGTCTTCTGGACACATCAATGGAGCCAGAATATCAGTGCGGAGGGTCACCGTACCGCGTACAACGGGCGGCGGCGAACGTCCGCGAACGACGGCGAATGCTGAGGTCCGGACCCAATGGGTATCTTTTCATTACATTAAAGTGTTACTATGTTAGAAGTCGCTTGTTTATTATATATATCAAATCATGCATCGGTGATCAGACATCTATGGCTACTGGAACAATGGTTCGTTCGAAGTTGTTTGCATTAATCGATAGAACAAAGGGTTCAACAGATTGTATTACCACTTGCATATAGATTGAACTCGGGGAAAATTTAACAAGAAGCAAAATAAATGTTAGTTTTTGTTTTACTTAGAATTCCGATATCAGGAGAAATGAATAACGAAACGCCTGGCAAAAAATGTTTAGCAAATTTAAAATCCCATTCAATTTGAACCAGTAGTTGCCGAGATTAGTGCATTCAAAAGAAGATACCAAAAAACAAAGTGTTTAACGTTATATTGACTATAAATGCAATAAATATGTTTTGATTTGTGTTTACAAAGATAATGTAGGGCCTATAACCTATTTCGGGAAAAGTACAGTTTTGTATCACATTTTTACTCATGTACACATGAGCCTAAGGAGGTTAATTTATCGGCTCATATGAATGAAATTTTCATTTACTAAAACGTAGTGTTGTTGTTGTGTCTTTAGCAGTATAAACTCGGCGTTCGACGAGTTGCGGGTCCATGTTCCAACATTTCCGTACGAGAAAAGGCTGAGTAAGATTGACACTCTACGGCTTGCGATCGCATACATCGCACTTCTTAGAGAGGTAAGTGACTTAAAGTGGAAATTTATTTTACAAAAGTGTATTAACGGATACGACAATACAAATTCTTTTAATCAGTATTTCATTTTCTCAAAGTTTTTAATTCACTCGTCACCAACTTAGTAACATCTTTTAAAGATTCTAAAATGGTTTCCGTATTCAAGTATTTTAAACGATTAATAATTGTAAAATTAATTATTTTCCCTAGGGGCATTGCATTGGCACTGCTTTGGCCTATCTATATTTCTTGTGTTTATATTACTTTCGCGTAGGCTTGCGTCGCAGGCAGAAGCAATATTCTTGATTGAATTCTTTTTCTAGGTCCTGGATGCAGATTACGATCCCTTGACTTATGTAGAGAAATGTCTTCGAGGTGAAATCAAGGCCGATCGTGCACATTGGAATACTAGTGGTATGTTTCATAGGTCGAGTGTCTTGAGTTAAAATCATTTATTAACTGATTAATAGCAACGTATGCTTATGTATATGATATGCGTTATTTTTATATTGTACAACATTTATAGATGACGATATTTCGTAGGCAAAGTCAACCTGATTTGACTTCTCACATAATTTCTGAATAAAATTGTATTGAACATACGAAAACGTTATTTAAAAACACAATTTCAGCACTTTTTACTAAAGTACTCTAACAAGTTGTGTTTACGCTGTGATAAAAAGTTGAAAAGTAAAGAAATATATAAAACAGTACTTTGATTTTTGATATTTGCTGTGACTGATTTACTTTCATGAATAAAGGGGGGAGGAGGGATTACACTGTGTACTCGTAGTACGTAATCATTCATAATCAAAAAGAATAACGCCTATAGAACACGAATAATTAAATACTGTGATTCATAAGACGTTGTTTAAGCTTAATTTTCGAATTAGAAAGTGTAATATTTCGACTTATAGATCTTCTTTTCCAGATTTGACCGCAAGATTATCGTGGATTAATTGGGAGAACTTAGGAGTTAATCCCCAACGCAGAAGTGTCTTGACATCGCTGGCCCTTAGTTCTGAAAATATGCAGTATCCTCATAACTGATGCATTTTATTGGGTTTATGTTAATTATTATTGTATTGTTGCAGACACCTAGATATTAGACATTAATTTTATGTTATGAATTAGAAGAGTAGAAATCAGGTCTGCTTCTTGTATGTTAACGTTATTTAAGGTTAATACAAAATCTATTGCCAAGAGTATTCTGTAACTTGCAATTGCGATAGCGACCCTGACTCGTCTATCGGTATCGCTGGAAAATACAGAGTACCAGTGTAGGCCACGCGACCACATGACCTTATTCTTTGTATATAAGTACGATGTTTCAATAGTGGATTATAATGTATGAAAAACGCCTATTCATGCTTTTGGGTTATAAAATATGTTTACACAAGTTAAGGGCCTATTATATTTTAAACTTTACCGAATATTTCTAGTTTTGATTTTAACCATTATGTCTATTTTAACGAAAATAATTGTATTTGAATTATAGTTTTTCAAAAGCTATGGATTATATAATTTGTCACAATTCTTATTTTAACGATAAGAAAATTATAGTCATCGCCCAGATGTGCCACTCATAATATTAAATATGTTTGTTTCAGACGTGGATAGCAACAAATTACTTGCTAAAAGGTGGATAATAGGCCCTTATAAATTCTAAATAACTTGTCTTTCTATAAAGGTTAAGAAGAGATGGTAGCTTTTGTCTTAACTAAAATATTCATTCTTTACATATAGGATATTACAAGAAAAATATATTGTGGCGTGTCGTGGAATTCTTATATTTTATGAAATTGTCAAGCCTTCATGAAATTGTCAACTCTACGAACTCGCCCCGACATAATATGATTCTAACAGAAATTTACACAGTACCAGAGCAGAATTTAAGATATCAAAACTGTGATCTTATAATATTAATAATTTTTAGGTTAGTTATTTATCAAGTTTTTTATTAACAACCGCGTATGCTTCATATTTTAATTATATACATATGCAATAATAGTGATTATGTATTGGAATTTCATACGTCAATGCTGTAATAATATTGTCTTCCAACAATTATCACATAGAACAGTAGTACCTATTTAAAAATTGTACCATAAAGTTAAGTAGGCATTGAATGTAGTTTATGAATACTCCCATAGAATTTTAGTATAAAAAATAATAAAAGCATAATGTTCTTTAATTAATATGTATATTATTTATATTAATAACTCATTACGATTTCAATAAATTATAAATGTGGTTTATCCATTTGCGGTCTAACAGAAACGCACTGGAGAAACAACGGGCACTTCTTTACCGACGCCCATGCTGTTTACTTTTCCAGTAGCGATGACAGTAGCCAAAACGGGGTAGAGATTCTAATTCCTAAGCATCAGAATAACAGTGTGATAGGGTATGAGGCAGTTAACGACCGCATTATGTCTATGAAGCTCAAAGCGTCACCTGTAAACTTGAACCTAATACAGGTATATGCCCCCACTAGTGAAGCTCTACCCCTCGTACTGGAGAGTTTTTACCAAGATTTACAAGCAACAATTGCCAAAATCCCCAATAGAGTGAAGATGAAGTGGTAACAGAACTCGAACAAATCTCTGAAACGTGGAGGAGCTATTGCCAGTCATTGTTCCTGGATTCGCAGTCGCGACTGTCTATAAGCACAGAACCGGAGCCAGAGAATTTGGAACCAGACATCCTTCTGTCCGAAGTAAGAACTGCCATAAAACACCTGAAAAGCACATTGCTCTGATACCACACGCTAGCAAAATATTGTTACATATTCTCAAAGAGCGCCTGAAAACCTACCTCTCTAAGGAGATCGCTCCGGAACAGGCCGGTTTTGTCAAGGGGAAAGGCACTCGGGAACAAATTCTCATTTTACGCCAAATCATAGAGAAGTCAAGAGAATTTAATAAACCTTTAAGGTGATGATTGTCGACCGTGCCAGAAATAATTCGCCTCAAGTGACTCAAATCGCGAAATGCAACGTGGTCCAATCTTATGTTTATCTTGGGGCCCAGATTTCAAGCAATGGCGGATGTATCGACGAAGTCAAACGACGTATGGGCATCACAAGAACGGCGATGAACAAGATGCAAAAAATATGGAGAAACAGGAATATAACAAAAGCCACGAAGACCAGGCTTGTGAAGACACTTATATTCCCCATATTTCTGTACGCAGCTGAAACTTGGACCTTGCGAGATGTGGAAAAGTAGAAAATAGACGCTCTGGAAATGTGGTGCTGGAGGAGAATGCTTGGGGTTTCGTGGACCGAGTTTCGTACAAACGTCTCGAAAAGAAAGAAAGAAAATCACGTCGAACTGAACAACAAGAATCCCCAAACAACTCCAAAGAAACCTACAAGAAAGACACCGGTATTATATTTTAATTATCTCTATCTCGAAATAGAATAAAAGAAAGTTGCTATCCAGGTCTGTAGCATGTGCAATTAGTTTTTCTAAACTACACAACGGCTTTTGATCTGACTAATATATAGACTGTTTTTCCAGGAAGGAGTTGTATAATATGAATTATATTTTTTTTTAAGTTTTGCATGGACAGAGCTTAAATTAATATTCTCTTATTTGTTGCAGAAAGCAAGTAGTAGTTTTAGTTTTGGAGAAGCCTCGTATCAATATATGCATAGCTTTCGGGCCCTGGAAAATGAGCGGCTTCAATGGCAATCGGCTTAAATGTTATAATAGAACACAAACATAGAGTTAAGAATATGGCAGAGATGCACAACCATGTAATGATTAATTTAAAATTACAAACCGAAATTCTGATGAAGACATTAGAGTCACTTAAAAATAAATAGTATAATGAAATAAAAATGTTTTAAAGATAAATAGTGCTTTATTTGTTTAAATAACTTAATTGTTAAAACAACCTAAATTAAGAAATATCAAACTAATGTACGCGCGTAAGAAGTTATACTTTTTTTTGGCATTATTAAAAATAGTTTTTGATTGCATGCAGATAATTAATTACAATTAAATAATCAAAGACCAGTCTTTGGTTATTTAATTGTAATTAATTTCCAGAAAAGGAGTCATTATAGTCAATAAAGTTCAGTTTACATTTGAAAAATTAAATAAATAAATATTTATTATTATTCTCTTACATTAAGTGTAACATAAATTCTATTATTATTGGAATGTTGTTTTTAAATTATGTCCAATGCCGTAGCATCTTTCGTGGGCAACTTCATTCTGTTAATTTTGTGTCAGGGTGCGCGCGCATCGTAAAATTTCACTCTCATCCATTTTTCATAACGTTAGGCGCGAAGTATAACTTCAAAAATATTAGTACTCAACGAAGGTATGTCTTCATGCAATTACTCATTTTTATTTCTATTATATATTTTTTCCGAATAGTTAACAGGTAGCCTAAACTTTGTTTTATTTGATAGAATATTTCGTTTCTTTTGCAGGAAATCTTTGAAAAAGAAAAGAAAGAAAACATTTACTACAGAGCAGTTAGAACAAGTGATTAAAGAGTCATTTGAAAATTTAAGATCAGAAGAGTGGAAGAAAATGACTGATCATGTTGTACAGGTGGAAAATAAATATAAAAAAAAGGGACAGGACTACGGACTACTAAGGATTTTTTGGATTCTGATTTTGATTATTCCGAATAAAGTTGTGTTTTATAATAAATATAGTTTTAGTTTTCCATGCAATGCTAGTCATTTTAAGTATCAATAGTAAAAAACTAAATACGTATTGTATTTAATTTCATAGAAATAAATACAGTTACTATCAATTTAAAAAATAATAAAACAAAATCAATTATCAAGTAAGTTTAATCCACAAAATATATCAAACTTTAAGGGATACCATACTAATTTTTTTGAATATGCCGCGCTTTATCGTTATCTTCTTTCATTAGCCAGACTCTATACTATTGTTGTTGTTTCTAATTAAGTGTCGAATGTTGGCTTAAGAGTGTCGAATGTAGTTTGTCTTTTGTACCTTAATTTCGTCTGTGGTTAAAAATACTGCTTTTTGTAGACAAATTTATATTTTGTGACAACTGTCAAATATCACATTGGTCTTTCCGGGGGCCTTTGTCAAGATGCCTTAACAGTAGTGTATGTAGAAAGTCGAAAACTTAATTTGTATGGAAATGACAGTTCGTGTCGAAAAGTTTTCATACAAATTTAGTTTTTGACGTTCTACATACACTACTGTTAAGGCATCTTGACTAAGGCCCCGGGTCTTTCAATGTGCGTTTTCCAATTACAGAGCATAATGCGACTCAGTGCCGCACAATGCCGCATTATGCTGAAGCTTAATTGAAACGTGAATTAGTTTTCAAATGCATCAGCAGAGTGCGCTAAATCAGCGTTGAAAAAAAAAATGTTCTGAATGAGTTAGCAACCTCATTAATGTAAAAATAATGTGGTAAGCAATAATAATTGGTTGAAAACTATTTACGCTTATTTTAATAATCAAATTATTTCATTAACATTTTTTTACTGAAATAAGAGAAAACCTTTAAAGAATATAAGGTTTTAACAAGCTAAAATAACAGTAAAATATTTAGTTTCATGTAAGAAGTTAACATCATTTACGTTTTGAGTAATTTTTTTAAATGATTTCTAAAACTATACTTTTTCAAAACCATTGTAATGTTTACAAAAGTATAATCCTGTAAAATAAATTTGTTAACAGATCCGAATTTTAAAATGAAATTGTATTCATATTTAAAATGTGGAATATAAAAAAAGTAACTATTTATACCTTCATCCATACTTATATTTATTTTTTTTAACCGTTTGAAATAACTTTAATTATTTTCAAAATCTACAACGAAACGAAAGCCTTACAAATTTTTCAACAATAAATAATATTTACTAACGAAAATTTCGATCAATGCCAACTTAAAGAAAAACACTGGTCAATTTTCTGTCACTGTGTTGGTATGATTGCGAGAAGCACGCGAGAGCATTACTTTTGAGAGTGCTCAATTGTGCGAAACGTTGCTGTAGTTGGAACATTCAACGTTGAGCATTATGCCGCATAATGCGCTCTAGTGCTGTAATTGGAAAACGCACAATGTCTACTATAGGTCTACCAGAATCTGATGGCAAAAAACAGTTTAAAAATTAGCGATTTTCATATGGCAATAAAAGAAAAATTTCATCTGTCTACTGAAATTTCGAGGAATTGTTTTTGGTTTGGCTTCAAATTTCCTTTAAAAAGTAATGAAAATGTCGAAGAAACCTCTTCGATCGCAAGCAAGACATATTGTTTTCAATGTTTATCAAAGACTACTTGATCAACAAGATGCAGAACATACACAATCATCGATATTGAGCCATGTGCAAGCGTTGAGTGGTTAGTAGGAATGGCACGTCTTGATATTTTGGTTTATGAGATTTTTCGTGCGTTATTATGTACTTATACTAAACTTTGGTTTATTTCAGGGGTTTCTTATACTACAAATAAACTTGGATAGTTTTTATTTAGAATTGATCGGAAACAAGATAAATGAGTCTTACACTGATTCTTTCTTTCAAATAGGGATCGATGAATGGCGAAAATCTTGTGAACATGTAATAAAAATTGAAAATCAGTTCATAGAACAAGATCGGTTAATTGAGATGCAAGAGGAAAGGTTTATCATAAATACTGCGTTGAAGACTTTTTATGGATGTGCAGTATTTGGAACAATTTTCAAGTTCTTAATTAATAAATAAACTCATAAACAAAGTAATTGGAGTTTTCATCTAAATTTCAAACCCCACATTCGCCACAAACAGGGTTGTAATATTAAAAGATATAAACATCGAAATAACAGCTCTTTTATATACTATTTGAATATATTTTCAATGCATTAAAATTATCCCTCAAACCGAATGTACAGCAAAAACTTTAGGGGTTTCTAATTGATTTTTAAAAAGGAAGGGCATTTGAAGTTGGTCCTAGCCCCTAGGCGTATGGATGCGAAAAAATAATCGATTTTTTTAAAAGTAAAAATCGTTTTTTTACGCTACTTTTATATTTAAAATAATCGATTAATAATCGATTATTTTTATAATTGAAAATCAATCATAGTCGATTTTTCATCTGCCACCTCCCGACATTATGTCTGGTCTTTTATAACCCGGACCTCGAACTATTAGGGATATTCGATATACATCGATGTTTACAATGCGATACATTGAATCCGATTCTTTAAAGATATATTGATATACTCGATGTATTGATGTTTTTTTGTAAAACATCGAAAGGATGATAAAACCAGTTAATTTTACAAAACTTAAACTTTGAATGGAACACTATAATTTAAAAGTTAAATAAATTTATTCAGCAGCACAAGATTACATACAATTAAAAAGACAACAAAAATACTGCAATGCGAAGAGAAGGCATACACTCAGCATTTATCAAATTTCACCTAAAATCTATCAAAACGAGATTAAGTTAATTTCGATTTTGATTATTCTTAAACGTTAATTTGTTTTTATAATTTCTATTGATTATTTTTAATAAAATAAAATAAAAACCATGAAAAATAAAATATATAGGGTGTTTTTTTGAAATTAATTCAAAAATTAGGAAAAAATCGATTAATAAAAAAATCGGATATTTTTTTAAGAAAAATCGAATTTTTGTTAATCGATTTTTCATGCTATTTTTCATGCATTAGCACAATTAAAATAGAAAAGTTTTTGTAATTTAAAAATTTGCATTATTTTTTTAGCATGAAAAATCGATTAACAAAAATTCGATTTTTCTTAAAAAAATATCCGATTTTTTTTTAATAATCGATTTTTTCCTAATTTTTGAATTAATTTCAAAAAAACACCCTAAAGATTTTATTTTTCATGGTTTTTATTTTATTTTATTAAAAATAATCAATAGAAATTATAAATACAAATGAACGTTTAAGAATAATCGATTTTTATGCAGAATTTCACATCCCTACCTAGACGATCACTAAATCTGTGTTTGTCGCATTTAATAATAAATATATTCTTAATTTCCAATTTATCATAAGTCTTTACTTTATTTATTTTAGTCCATATTTCATGTCAATATGAAAATTACAATTAAGAAGTTGCAAACTCAAGAAGAGTTCAATTTTGAGGTAAGTCCCTAATGTAACCTAAGTGACTCAACAAATAACATTCTGATAAATCTTTTTTTACCACGAGATTGTTGTCTCTTTAGAAAATCTGTAGGTTGTATGTTCATCAGACTTTAGCCTTGCCGGAAAGTGATAACTATGATAAAAGAATATAGTTGAAAACTTCGTTATAATTATAAATTTTTGGATTAAATAATTTTAGATTAAACTTTTTCTGTTTAAGGTTGAACCTTCTACGAAAATTATAGATATTAAACGTAATATTGCGCTTAACGGCAAGCAAAGGGTTTCAACACAGAAATTATTGTACATGGGTAGGATGTTACTTAATCACGAAACCATCAGTACATATCCTAATATTAAGGATGGTGCCAAGATACATCTATTAATTATCAAGCCCGAAGGTCTAGAGGCGGCAGCAGCAAGGTATTTTAAGGAAAAGGGTATGTCAGATGAAAAAGCCAACCGCCTGGGAAATCGTTTGCAAGTGGTAGCAAAAGAAACATTTAACAAAATGTCGTGGGATGATATTGAAAGGCTTGCATTGAACATATTGGGTGATGAAAATATAGATTTAACTAGATCTCTATATTCAGAAATTGGGGATTTACATAATAAATTGTGAATCAACATGAGGGCTCATTTATAAATTACTTAAATCTTAATTCAATGTTTAATATAGTTTTTTAAATTACAAAAACTTTTCTATTTTAATTGTGCTAATATTATGTAATTATTTAGTCGAAATTAATGTTAAACCTTACAGCTAGTCTTTTGAGGATCAACATCAACCATTTGTCTAAAATCTGGTGTGCTGGTATGATGTGTACAAATTTTATATATTTCAATTGATATGTAGTACACAGGGTGTCAAATCTCACTAATCAATAAGTAACTCACAATAATTTGTGTCTCCACAGTCCCTATAGCCTATTTTCACAAATCAGGGTTAAAATTAAAACTACTACAAACTGTAAAATTTACAAATTAAAAGTAATTAAAATTAGCTACTGGGCATAATATTTTTTTAATTTATCACTTAATATAATTTATTTCCAAAATGAAATTTGCTGATGCAACATGATGGGTACCTTATGTTACTATTAAAAAACGAAATATTTGAATCTTAAATTTTTTATTTAAAAAGAAATGAGGTATATCATAACTTTGCTCACATGGTAGGTTTACGTTGAATGCTTATTGTTACATAATTAACTTTTATAATACTTTTGTACATCTTTGTGTAACAGTGCTTGTAGGAGCCTTCACGCTTACATCACTTAGGATTTGAATTTGTCTACTGATGTTGTGGGCCCTCGGAAACTGGTTTTGTATTGCAAGATATTCCAATTTGATTTATTGTAAGTTATGGCCTTTACTTTTGAGAAAGGTACTTGGTTAAATCCATACTTAATAGCTTCTTCATGGTAAGAGTGGAAGTCGTCATCAAGCATCTGGAGGAACTTAAATGTTAGAGCCTTGGATTTTATTTTCAAAAATGCCCTCAATAATGATATTGGGCTATATATTTCTTGACGCAGTTAAACTTTACAATGTGGACCGTCGATTTTAAGGTTTTTTGGGGAGGAGGGAATGGAGGGAGGTGAGAACTACCCCCTGTATCATCCCCATCCTGCGAAACCCCATGGTTATAGAGATATTCATGGTTAAAGTTTTAAGGTTAGAATGGTAAAGATTTAGAAATCCGTCGCCCGAATTTGATAATACTTATTCTGTGGTGTCTCTTTACCTTGATTGGAACACCTCCAAGTAATTTCTGCTGCCGGAGTTCCGACTAAGTATTAAAAAAGATTATTTATTGAAATTCGTAAACAAACTTCTATTGGTTATTAGAGATGTGACATTCTGCATCAATTGTTAGTGATGTGACATTCTGCATCAAAATTGTAAATTAATCTATGGTTTTTTAGCATGAAATATCGATAAATACAATTTTTGAACTTAAATGTTTTAGAATTTCCACTTTCAACCAACCAATTTCACGCGCCAGAAACAGTTATTTAAAAAAAATATATATTAATTTACTAACAACCTAACCGATCTAGTATTTTTTTAATCCATCTGCAATCAGCCTCATGGCTTTTATCAGATTTTATAAGAAATAATGACAATTAGGGAACGCAAATCCAATAATTTTTTTATTCCCTCCGTATTTCGTAAACTGACAGACTGCGGCAAGTTTTGCCCTTTTCAGCCGATACACACTGTCCGTCGTTTCCAAGAGGCCCGAAGCTAGGGGATTGACGTGTTGCTGAAGTCTCATTTTGTATCGCACGGTTGATCTTTTAATGTCTTCCTCGACAGTGGCAATTCCCAAATATTTATGGACTTCAGTGTTTCGTGTTAACCAAGGCGCACCGCTCATATTTCGCAGTGTTTTGTTTTCTAGCCGCTGCAGGATTTCGATATTAGAGCGGCTTGCTGACCCCCAGAGCTGTATCCCATAGAACCATATTGGTTTTATTACAGTTTTGTAGATGAGAAGTTTATCGTCCAAACTAAGTGCAGCATTTCTACCTAATAGCCAGTTCATGCTACGAAGCCTACCAATAGCATGCTCCTTCTTGGCTTTTATATGGTCTTGCCAAGTCAATCGTAATAATGAATAATCAAAATGTTCAATAACATCAATTAAATTGATTTTCTTATATATTTGTTTTTGGCACCTAGGAACGTATCCCCTATAAACCCATATAAATTATCATTCTGTATTCACGGTTTCTGTATTCGCGCCATATTTATGGAACGTATACCCCGCGAATAAAGAGATTTTACTGTATTGCTTTCCTTATTAAGGTATCATCTGATATGAGATCTAAGTGCGTTATCTCTGGTGTGGTTAGAATGTATTCAAAGTTGATGGAATCTCATCTCTCTCTCTCTCATCCTCATTAAAGATATTCCTGAATATAGATTAGGATATCACTTTTATTAAATTTTTATGGATGATCAAAGAAAATCAGGCTTATCTTTGATTAGTACAGTGTCTAGAATAAATTAATAAATTTTGAAGACAAGACAAGAGATACATGGGTCTGATTGCTAACATATAGTCACATTTCCTTCCAGTATATCTGTATATTCACTCAGTATAGGGACTAAATACTCATTTTTATAAACTCCTAGATTTCTATAGACCCAAGGGTATATTAACCCTATATATTATAGAATAGTAGTAAGAATGAGTTTTAATATAATATATTAAATATTAAGCATCTTGTTATAGTAAGTTTGGAGGCAAGTTGAAACATGCACTATTCAGACAAGCTAAGCAATTCAGCCAGTTCTGGTGATTTTTTGCTAAGACTTGGTATGGATGGAGTGGAAAATAAAGAGTAAAGCAGTAGCCCAGAATTAATATATTTTTAATAATTTTCTGCTAATACAATTTTAGCATATTTTTAAACATTTCATTCAGTCTACTAACATAAAAAATTGAATGTACTAAGAATATATTGAATAGGTCTATTTTTTGATGTATCAAAATCAAGCTACCTACATGAATTTATTTACCCTTGAAGTCATTTTCCTTAACAAGATCTTCATACATTGAAATAATTAAAATCATGTGTCAACAACAATAACATTGCAATTAAATATTAACATTGAACTTTGAAGTTTATTTTTTTCATGAAAACATTTCCTTTATGTTCTTTAGGGCGCCATCTAGTATGCCTTAGATGTACTCGTTGCTCGTTTAACCTAACGCCTAACCATATAGTTTAACCGTTCGACTATCAAGTTCAACAATTTTTCACTAGATGTCACCTATCGATTAAACTGAATAGGTATTTCTTTACATTTCTCAAGGGATAAAAAAAATTAAATTTTTTATAATCATGTATTGTGTTGTGTTTCAACTTTCAATTGACCTTGTGAAGCAAATTGATTTATTTAGGATATTGTAAATAATGAAAGATCATAACCGAATTAACAGGTATATGGTTAAGGAAAAAAAAAGTAAAAGTTGATTAATCAAATTCTAATAGTAGGTAATATTATGTTGTAGTGACTAGAAGAATATATTTAGGTATATGATTGCTCTTTTACTTACAAAAAAGTGTAATGTAAATAATATACCAATTTTAAACACAAAATTTAAGTTTTTAGGTACATTAATATGTGCATAGGAATTAGGAATACAAATTTATTACTTTTTTACCTGAGAAAAGTTATTAGTCGGGAAATCGACGACTTTATAGATTAGAAATTATAAAGTGATATTAATTTTCATCCCTTTCGCTTTTTTTTAAATAAAGAATCTTTTAAATTGCTTTTTAAAATAGTATTGAAAACTGCTTAATTTTCTACTGGCTAATATTCATTTAGACAATCGCACGAAATATTCGATTATTCGAAAATAATTTGAATATTTTCATTTCTCCATTTTGCAGAAAAGCTGAACAATATACGATTTAATGCACTAAATGTTTTTTAAAGGTTGTAAAATTAAAGACTTCTGTAATTTTTTCTTTATTGAAAAAGAAACAACTTACATATTATTTAAGAATCAATTAGTAAGTGAAAATGCAAAATTGCAACTAAATTATATATGCTAGATTTATCAGTTATAATATTTTAAACTATAGTTCTCAGAGGCGGCAAACATTGTTTCATCAGTGTAGTGATCGTGGACAAAAAAAGACAGTGTCAAAGCTCTATATTCTTTCAAATTTGATTTCTCTTGTATATGAAATAACATTTTAAAGCTCATCGTTTATTTTATTTTTTTAATACAATTCACACCAATCGACTTAGTCCCATGCTAAGCTGGTGAAGCTTGTGTTATGGGTACTAGGCAACGGATATACATACATATTATATATAGGTAGACATATAAATACATATTTAAACACCCAAGACCTAAGCACAACACCAAATGCTCATCACATCGATGTTCGTCTCAGCCGGGGATCGAACCCGGGACCCATGGATTCGCAGTCAGGGGTACTAACCACTAGACCAATGAGTCGTCTAATTAAAGTTTATCGCTGTACGTTTTAATTGTTCTATGCAGATGTCATCTAAGGGCCTCTATAGTAATTTTACCTTTCCGTCCGAAAATAGAATGATTATTTTATTTTAATATAAGAAAACGAGTAGAAAAGTTGCGCAGAAATAAATGTAGTCAGCGTAGTAGTATTTGTATTAATATCTTGTAAAATACAGTTAGAAGTACAATTGGGTAAATAAATTGTTCGTTCCGATATAGTGGCATATGACAGTTAACATACAGATTTGGAAATAAAATGTCTGTAGACCCCTATAGAGACCTATATAGATAACCTATAAAAATAAAAATGTAACGCATTATATGTTGCTAAACGCAAAACTCAATTCGAATATTTTTATTTCTTAAACTCTGAGGAAAGTTTTTATGGAGAAATAAATGTAAAAAAAAAAAAAATTTATTTAGTACTTAGATTTTTATTCTGGAAAAGCGAACACCTATGGATAGCATAGGTCTTGGGATATCTAGGAGATTAAGCTATGTACGCTCCATTAAATTTATTAATTTATATTAAATTTGAACCTGGAAAATGCATAAATTACTTATCATTTAATGGAAATATTTGATTTTAGATACTCTTTTTTTTGGTTTTA